AATTATTTAAAAAAATTTTTATTAAATTTGGTCAAGTTTTTGTTAAGTTATTCTTGTTTAAAGTTATAAAAAAATTTATTATAAAAAATTTGCTTGATTTCTATTGACTCACCCCATATATGAAGTAAGAATTTTCATGCTCAAATCATTTTAAAATGTCATCCGATACATCCTATGCTATTATATTTCTCACGGTGGTGTGTGTATATTATCTTGATATGTACTTTGATAGTAAACGTAAAATAAATAACAAATTATATCAACATATAATTGATTAATAAAACTTAAGCGGCAACATTGCTATTCAGTAATGAAAGCAATGAATATAAATTTTTTCAACAATGGGGAAACAAAATTTTAAAGAAATCAAACCAAAAGCCATTGTCATTGCTTCTGGTCATTGGGAAACTACAGACGAGATTAGAGGTATATTGCTTAATATATAAATCTAAATATAATTTTTTTTTTAAAAAAAAAAAAGAAAAATTCTTTTGGGAATTAACATATATTATCGATATTGTCCAATGTTAGTCGAAAATTTGAAGGTGAAACACCGATTATTTATGATTTCTATGGATTTCCGGAAGAATTATACCACCAGAATTAGCTGACAAGATCGTTGATTTGTTAACAAAGGTATTTTTTAATATCTATTGTATATTAATTTGAAAAGCGCAGTAATTAAATTGATTGATCAACCGATGATCATTTGGTTCCTATTCATATCGCAGCCAGTGCCGCAGGGCAAGATCCGGGGAAGAAAATTTACGAATCTTTTATGGTTGATTGAGTTGGGGTTCAGTGGAATTCTGTGCTAGTGGATAAAATGTAAATGTAATAATGTATTATCATGGGCATTTATCAAAATATTTCTATCACTTGTTATGTAAAAAATAAAGTTTATATATATTGGAGCTATTTGTTGTGCGCACTTTTAAAAAAAATTTATGCGTGCTGCAGCGCACCAGTATCTACATATAATGTGCGACCCGCCCACAATTTTAATGCTGAATTTAGTTTTTTAAGTAGTCAATATAATGATTGGTTAATATTTAAACATTTTATCAGAGTTAAGAACTAATTTGCATTGAACCTGTTTTTGTAAAATAGCTCCGAACTGGATCTGCAAAGGTTATTTAATAGAATTATGAAATTTTTAGTAAATTGAACCATTAATCGGCAATGATTTTCGTGAGTTGAATAATACCTTGCGTTATGTTACTAATATGTAATTCTGGTTTCTGTCAATTTCAAAAAAAAAAAAAAAAAACATATATATATGAGCGTATTTACATCAGATTAGTCTAATCTACTGAATTTAATTTTTAATTGTACGCAATTTATATTTACAACAATATTGAGAAAGAATAATTTTATCTTAATTATGAAATTCCATATCTTCATTCTTACTGTCTTAATAATATGTTGCCAGGCAGCAAACATAGCTGATGGTAAAAAAAGTAAAAAAGGTAAACCAGGTTATATTTTTTGAAAATTAACAGAAATTATCTATTTTAATACTTTGTCTGATATTTATTAAATAATGTGTAGGTTTCTTTAGTTCGATTGTCATTTCCACTTTGAAAAAAGGGACAGATTGTCATGGTTATGTAACGGATTGTAAAAGTAATGTAATGTTTGATAGAGGCATGAAAAATTGTAGTGGTACTTGTATGGTATCAGAACGTCATAATATACCAAGCGAACATTCGTACTGTCCTCATATGTCAATTCTTGGTAAAGATAATAAAATCCGTGACAAATCCGTCGAAAATGTCAATAAAAGTGGCTGTTTCAAAGTTAGTGGGGATTCTATTAACTTTAAACTCAAGGAAATAGATTGTCCTGAAAAGCTTCCAGAACTATGTAGTGATCCTAAATAAAATTAAATTTAATTAGCACTTTCTTTTTAATTGTTTGTCAGTGCTTTTTTTTTCCTAAAAAAAAAAATAATTCCAATTCAAAATGTTATTTATATACTAGTTATAGGAGTTGGATTATAAAGACATAGCAGAATAAAAAATACCACGCAAATTATTAGTAAATTTATGTATATCTAATAATATAATAAAAGAAAGACAAAAAAATTCGCAGTTATGATGAAATATAATTATTAAGAATATCAAAATTTGAAATAAAATTTAGTGGTTTCACAAATTTGATAAAACTTTATAATGTCTTTTATTTTTCACCATTTCACAAAACAAGGTGTCATTTTGCCAAAATAAGGATTCATCATCAAACGGATATTCGAAAGAGTGTAAGCTTTTGCCTGAATAACGTCATGACAATAGTTTTATACTTTGATGAGAATTTTTTAAATTCTTTTATCTCATTAAATATTGTAAAAGTAATACTTCATCCTGGTCATCGATAGAGAGAAAGTTGTCTTCTCAGTGCTGTAATTAAATAATTTATAATACTAGTTGTTAGACTGTCATTAAATGATGGGTTAGTTTTAAACATTTTTTAAATTAATTTTACACTCTATAATCTATTATAGTTATGGGCTATATGCAAATTTCCACAGGAAAGAGGTGAGTCATCCTCAAATTTTATTTACATAAATGCGCAGAATATAAAAGTATACCAGTAGTAGCATAATACGGAAAATTTTTATTGTTACGAAAAGCATTATTAATATTACAAAATTTAGTGTATTTTATTTGGAGTATGCCTTATGCCGGAGGTGATATTTTAATGGATTTAGGTTAGCAGAATACATAATAGAAAATGAGCAATTGACCGAGTTTGTCAGAACTGCAGAGGCCTCCCGCGACAGAAGTAATCGTAATTGCACTGGGTGTCTCTGTAGGATTAGCCTGCAGGGCCATTCCCCGCCTGCTGAAGCAAGCCGGCCGTGATTGGAGAAATGATGAAGTCTTATGTTTGTGAGGGTTGGATGGGTAGCCTTGTTGTTCTTTCAGTGCCGTGGGAGCTTGGATCTGTTGTCTCTTGTACTTTATACTTTAATTAACCGTTTCCTGATACCTGATTCTTTACGCAAGGCATGTGCTGTTTATCATTGCTACCCCTTTGTTTGATCTTCCCATACCCGAACACCTGCTTCTGCAGATATCTTATGATTTTCACGCTTGCAAGGACGATGATCTTCTGTGTGATAAATTTCTGCGATAATTCTTTTGCACAAATCGCTAGGTGCCGCACAAAAAAATACGCGGCAGATCCTCGATTTTGATTGGCTAACGGCCGAGGATCTTCAAAATTCTGGCCCGCATTACATAATAGTTTCCTAATTTCCGGCCGGAATCAACTTTTTAATTTTTTCATTACAAAATAGAAATATTTAAAAAATAAGCCCGCATTATGGTAAAATTGGCCCAGGAACAATTTTCACTTAATGGGCGGCTACGATTTCATTAGTAAAATTATAATTCCGGCCTAATGTTTTGATCGTCGCTCTTAGCCAATCAAAATCGAGGATCTGCCGCGCACTTTTTGTGCGGCACCTAGGTTCAATTCATAATCCTTGGATGCTTGTACTACGTACGTACGTAATGACCCAGCCCGTGAGGGTGTTGTGTGGCTGCTTCTCTTTTCGATCACGTGATGAACCATCACTTCGCATTCTATGGCTGTGGAGGTTTTGGAACAAGTGATGCGACCCAAATCTAATGGTTTCGGCACTTGTCGTATCCAAAACTGGCAAAACTAGTTAGGACTTGTCTAAAACTAATATAAATAAAGATACATAGTATTTATGCACAAATTTTTTATTTTATTTAATCTTGACTATTTTTTTTTTAAATTATCCCAAACAGGTAATGGTAGTCGTCCTCCTTTTTTAGGCATCTTTTTTTTTAAATGTCTTGTTTTGAAAATTTTTAGGTTAATCGTTAGTAGTATTTGTTGAAGTCTCTGCCAAATCCATTAATATTAATATATAAAGTAGAATAAATCAAAAAGCTTTTTATGTCAATATTAACGTTTATTAAACTATTTATGTAATCTAATTAGAGTTTTACACTTATATCAGATCTTTGCATATGATTTAATATTTTGTCATTATATTTTGGATTTTGTATATGTTTGAGATTTTATTATATATTTGGGGTTTGGAAGTCTATTTGAGATTGGCAAATATCCCAATCCGAATTCCAAAATACAGTTATTTGTCGTAAATAGTTTGGGTCACATCACTAATTGGAACCATGATTGGTTCGGTTAGCTACGGTCGGTATCGGTCGTTATTATCGGTTATCGACTCTTGGCAGGAAAAATTGGTTATACGGTTCAATAACCGGTCACAGCTAGCGTTGCAAACTTAACACGTGAATTGATTTGTATTATAAAAGCTAAAATCAAAATCAATAATATTTTGCGTATTTAATTACAAGAAATAATGCAAAAATCGAATATTTATTTTTTGCATTATTTATACTAGAATCATGCAAAAAAAAAAATTAGTTTTTGCATTATTTGCTAGATTATTATAAGATGAATACAGCAATATATAATTTAGTGTTGTATATATTAAACTACTGGTATATATTGTTTATATTGTTGTCATCTATCTATCGTTATTACTGTATTGCTGTATAATAAAAATAAAGTCAAGTTTATCATCGGTATTATTATGACTCAGCATATAATACATCTTTAAATATTCTGAGGGATAAACATAATCTGCGACAATTATTAATGATATGTTATTTTTGCTTTTATAATTCTAAATTTAATTTTTGTTCCTGACAATAATAATAAACTATTATTTGAAAATCTTTATATAAATACTATCATTACCTATTTATCTATTTTGATTCTGTAGAAATAAAAGAATTAATAAAATTTATAAGCAAAAATACTATTTTGACTTCTTTAGATCTTTTTAATAATCAGCTTGGTTCTGATAGAGGAAAACGCTAAAGAAGTTTAAAAATTATCGCAAACAATTTGATTTTAAGAGTAAAGAATTAGCAGAGGGAGGGTCTTTATAAAAATTCAACTCTGACTTATTTAGATAGCAGCAAAAATTATATAGGATCCGAAAGTGCAGCAAAAATTCTTTGTATAAACTCTATTATAACTTCTTTTTTTTTCAGATCTTTTTTATAATAATGTCTTTATTCTGACGGAGGAAAAACACTAGTAGATGCACTTTGTGTCAACTCTACTCTGGATATTTTTAGTATCAATAATAATCAATAAGGTTCTAAAGGAGATAAATCAATAGCAAAAGATCTTAGTAAAACTCAACTTTAACTTACTTAGATATCAGAAATAGCAAAATCGGAATTAAAAAAGGAGCAAAGCACTGGTGGATGCACTTTATAAAATATCACCTTAACTCACTTGAATATTAGCGAAAATTAGTTTGGTTTTGAATAAGGAAAAGAAATAGCACAAGCTCCTTATAAAAACATTAACCAATTTTAAGTATTAGAAAAATGAGATTAGATTGAAGGAGCAAAGTATAGGCAGAACCACATTGTATCAACACTACTTTGACTTCTTTAAGTATTAGGATAATAATATTGGATTAGTAGGTGGAAAACTCTTAGCAAAAGCTCTTTATAAAAATAAAATACTAAATTAAAGTCTTTAGATCCTTTTATGAATATAATGTTGATTACAAAAAAAAATAAGTGCATTACAAAAATTTTTATGATATCTGTACATTTATACTTATTAAAAATAATTTTATTTCAAGAAAATGTAGCATTGTTAACTTTAACAATTAAACAACTATAGGTTATGATTTAAAAAAAAATCAATAAACTTGCGAAATAAAATGGTTTAAATGGGAGAAGCCTAACTTATTGTTTGAATTATATTTATTAACATTTACGTTTGTTAATTAAATTGTTATAATATGTGTTGTATACTTATATGATTTTAATAAATTTTAGAGTAACAATAATTGCGATAGTAAAATTGTCAACAACTACAATAATTATTTTAGTGACTCTAAAAGAGACGAGATAGAAAAAATGAAGCAAAAAATATTATTATTAGACAACTCTTCATACAATATATAAGCATAATTTTTGTGATCCAATAAAAAATAACCTCACGTGATGCCAGGTAAATGATCTGTTGGGGAAATAACCATCGAGGAAATGATGACACTAATAAATTCCACATATAAAAATTGCTCAAAGAAAGAAAAACTTCGGGTTCATGACATTTAAAACCCCATAACTTATTTAATATGTTCAAAGACACATGATAATATCAATTACTGGACGATAATAACGCTATCGTATGAGAGCAAAAAAATCAGCATATCTTTTTTGCAAGTATTGTATATGAGGAATGGGCTAGGAAGACCAGTCTTCGATGATTAATATTAAGATTTTTTATTTATTGTTATTTTTAAAAAATAAAATTTTTACACAAACAAGATCAAGTGTCTGAATTTAATACTCCAACTTAAATTGATAATCTTCTGATTAGTTTTTATTCTATTTTTAGAGCATCATATCTTCGAAGAACTGATTTATTCAAAATAAAATATTTCGTTTATTATTAACATCGGACAAAAATTGTGCAGTGTATAAATAAGATCAAGATTTTAGTTAGTCGACCAAAAAGTGCCGAATAAAAACGGTTGGTTGTAGAATTAAATGATTCACTAATCTCAATTGGTAAAAAAAAAAAATGATTCACTGCGAATCTCAATTGGTAAAATAAAAACACCATTTGTATAAATCCGTAACTTTTTATTATCAAGCTCGTGATGATATCTAATCTTCAAGAGTTTTAATTACTTGAACCAAGTATTTCAACCTCAATTAAAGCTTTCTATTATTAAGGTTTAGTTTAAATGATGTTTGATAGTTTAAGTTGCAAATTTGGTTTATGTGAAGCTTCTTCCTAGTACAGAGATAGTTCTGCCTTTACAATATCAGACACATTTATT